CGACTTGTCCAGTCGGCGATCTTTCGTTCTGACGTTTTCTACAGAGTCCTTTTCGACCGGGGACTTTGATGTCTTTTTCCTCTCGATTTTCATAGGTGCTCTTGTGGTTTCGTCCACGTGAGCATCTACTTCCATCTGATCGGAGGCGGTCTCGTCAGCCCTCGCAGCCGGATGCTCCTGTGCCAACTCTGTCGATGGAGCCGGCGAGGCACCCGGCACCGGCAACCCTGTGCTTGAATCAGCTGATTTCTGTGCTTCGACGCGTTCAGAAACGCTTCTTGAGCGTTTTCTCTTCGGCGACGGCGTCTGGATCTGTTTTTCTAGCTTTGCGATAGTCCTTTCGGCGGCTGACAGCCGTTTGTTGAGGCTATTTCCGCGTTCGTACTCATCGTATAAGCGAAGTTGCAGAATCTTGTACTGATCCGCCAGGAAGCGAGTCCTAACGAGGCACCTCTCGAACGAATCCACTTCACGGTTCTCACAGATTCCGCATTTGACAACTTTGTCCTTGGTCGGACTCAGAGTGTTCTTGCACTTCTTATGGCGCACGTTTCCGCAGTTCCCTGCGCAGAATATCAGCTCTCCTTGCGGGAAGTCTGGGGAGCCGCATCGAAAACAACGTGCCACTTCGGCCGCCATCTTGCATCATTGCGAAGCTTTACCGAGTGAGTCCCCGTAACGAGCGTCGATTTTATGATATTATACTTCTTCTCGAGTTGATCGAGGCTCCAGCGGCCGAGAGGGATCCGCAAGCGCTTTGTGAATCGCAAGATCGCGACGATGCGTCAGATTTCAGAAGTTCGGAATCATCGTCGAGCCTGAGTCTGGGTTGTTTGTGTCCCATAGGCCATAGGCAACCTGATTGTACGTCCGAGTTTGAGACGCGGCCTATGATTGCAGGTGATCCTTGATCTCATGGTTCTTATGCAGGGATCGAAAAAACCATCCATCAACATGGTCGTCCTTGGCGTCATAGATATCGAAGATACCTTGCGAGGATTCCGGGACGAGGCGGCCCCCGACCTTTACGAAGCAACCGCGGACTTCCAGAAGGAACTTGCCAATACGTTGTTGGAGTGCATCCAAGGTCGGATGCGTCCATTCAGCAGAATGGAGCTCTTAGGTGCTCTACTAGATCCCGAAATGAAGGGGATCTCCAGGGTGAGGTCAGAGATTGCTGGCGACAGCCTTGCGCAATTCTTGTCGGATGCTGTCTTCGAGTATACGACTGTAACTCCCGCTGATGAAGGAGTTCCGGTTATCGTGGAAACACCAGCGAAAAAGCAGAGGTCCTCACTCACAGCGAAGTATGGGTCCTCGACAAATTCCTCCGACGATTTGACAAACCAGGTGGAGCGTTACCTCGCTTGTCGCGTGAAACTTTGTGAGTCACGCAAGCCAACCGATCAAGATGAGGTCCTGAAATGGTGGCTCGAAAACAAACCCTCGTTTCCTGCTCTAGCCAAATTAGCACGGGTCATCCTATCAATACCAGCGACCTCAGCTGAGCCGGAGAGACGTTTTTCGACCGCTGGCAATTTACTGCGTGAAAAAAGGTGTACGATGGATTCCGTGACCGCCTCGAAAGCTCTCTTCATCCATGATAATAAAGCCTTCATCTGAGCCGAGTGATGTAGCCCCAAGAATGATGAGCTGCTCGGGTTTTTCGAACATGACTCTCTTGGCTTGTTCATTTCATCAATTTCCATAACAGTTCCCGCTTGAGTTGGCTGGAACAGAGGATCATCGAGAGATATGCTCTCAGTCAGCTCGCGGAGCGGATAAGGTGTGGGGGAAACATGCTCGCATGACGTCATCTCGAGTTCAGCAACGCGCTACGGAGCCGCCCCGCCGCCGACTGATCTGCCCCGCCGCGGCGGGCCGTGCCGTCGCAAAACGCCGCGGCGTGCTTCGCCGCCGTCAATATTTCGGTCCACCGCCGCCGCCGTCACCTTCAACCGCGGCGCACAGGTCTGGTAGAGACTTGTATCATGAGTCACTGGCAGCCGGTCACGAGGGCCAGAAGAGCCTCAAGAAGTATCTGGATGCAAACAATAGAATTTCGAAGCTGGTAAAATAATGCTCGGAGAGAACTGTTGTGACTTACTTGCGAGGAATAACATAAAATTATCAAATAAAAACTAATCAAATCATCTTTCCAATGTCCCGTTAGCCCGGCACTCTTTCGTTGGATTTGAAACATGACACACAGCTCACGCTAGCAATCATCGGAGCTCCCATCCTCGGAAACCTCTCTGGAAAGCCGAAAGCTTCAAGTTGGGAGACGGAGAATCCTACAGTTTTTGACGGCGCCGTTGTCGCAGCGCCGTTTTTGACGGTGCCTTTTTCGCAGCGCTGCTTTCGGCGGCGCCGTTTTCCACTGTTTTCGGAGCGCCTTTTTCGCGGCGCTGTTTACGCAGCGCCGGACCCGCAGCGCCGTTCCCGCTGCGCCGTTTTTTCGTAGAGCCCTCAGAAGGCAGGTATCGATTTCTTCGTCACATATTCTCCAGTCTCGAAGCTGACTTCGGTGCGTTTTCTGCTTGCTCTGGCAGCAGCAAGGGATTCGGAGATAGTGCGGTGTGATGTCACTATCTTCATGGAGCTGCCGGAAGGCTATTCCGACGGAAGTGTTCGAGTGTGCGAATTAAATAAATCGTTATATGGTTTGAAACAAGCGCCGCTCCAAGAAAACCCCCTTTGTCTTGCACGAGATGAACTTCCGACGATGCGCACAAGAATCCTGTGTGTTCGCAAGGGATGAACATAGGTTGTTTTGACGTAGAACTACGTCATTATGGACGCTGTCCAAAAAAATGTGACGGAACTGGTTACGGATGCACGAATGGTTTCGCATTGAGGGTTTCGAAATCTCAGAAGCTCTTTTCAGGTTACTTCCGGCATTGACGGTGTTCCGCCGGAAGTGATCAAGATTTTCATGAAGGAGGGAGCGACGCAGTTTGCGTCGATGGCCAACGGGTTGCTAGGCGAGGGGAGATTCCCGAGAGAGTGTGAAGTCGCGAGACTAGTCCTGCTTCCTAAGCCCGGAAAGCCCCCGGAGGACCCCTCCTCGTACAGGCCACTATGCCTCCTAAACACGCTGGGAAAGGCGATGGAGACAACACTATCGGCAAGACTCACGGAAGAATTAGATCGAAACCATGCGATAGCTGACAGCCAGTACGGCTTCCGAGCCGGACGGTCGACAGTCGATGCGATACTGGAAGTGGTGAGGACGCGGAGGCAGAGCGACAAAAGACTCAGAGAACCAAGCAATACTGCTTGGTAATCTTCGTCGATGTGCGAAATGCGTTCAACTTCGATGCCATGGAAGGTCGTGATGGAGGCTCTCGAAAAAGCCGGAGTCGCGCCCTACCTGAGAAGAATGATAGGCAGTTACCTCGAAGACCGGCAAATAGTGACGGCCGAAGGGAAGAGGTATCAGATGACGGCGGGTACCCGCAGGAGTCAATCTTCGGACCAACGCTATGGAACATAGCTTACGATGGAGTGCTTCGAATCG